AGATGATCAGATGATACCATGTTTAACATCTAGAGACCGTATGAAGTGAGCTAGATGATCAGATGATACCATGTTTAACATCTAGAGACCATATGAAGTGAGCTAGATGATCAAATGATACCATGTTTAACATCTAGAGACCGTATGAAGTGAGCTAGATGATCAGATGATACCATGTTTAACATCTAGAGACTGTATGAAGTGAGCTAGATGATCAGATGATATAGGAGGGTAATACTAAATAAAGAATTAAATATTATATTTGTAAAATAAATTAATATATAAATTGAAGTAATTACAATTAAAAAAAAAACTTCTTGGATGGAACTTAAATTTATTTTTCTTTTAGAATTTTCCAAAGGACCCTTATGTATTTTTGCATAAATAGTTTTTGGTTTGGTTTTATACAAATTATTCATGCAGTTCTGGTAAATTGTGAGGGATTTCTTGTGGGCTGCTTCTGTGCTGAAACATTTTGACTGATGTTTCATCTTTCTGACTGAGATCTCAGCTTGAGAGACAAACAGGGCAGTTGTTGAAACTTCCATTACTTTATACACAACTCTCTCTGTACACCGCCCTCGTGAAAAACTAATATTTTGAGTGTGCTAGACTTTTTGAGGACTTTTCACTACATTGTACAGTAAATACATTCTATGTTAATTAGGGATATTTAGAGATTTAAGTAGAGGTAAGTTTGTTAATTTCTGTACTTTCTGATAAGCACTAGATATTTTGAGGTTAAAATTGAGTGCTTTGTATTGTAGGTGGCACTAGGCGAACCCTTTACCCTGGAAGTACTCGACATTAGTAATGGTTTGCTGATTCCGTTTTATGATCCCGATGTCAACTTGCTTTACCTCTGTGCCAAGGTAAAAGTTTTATAAGGTGAACAGAAGAAAAAGAAAAATGTCAATAGTAACTTGCATTGATCATAACAAAAAATTAAAGAAATAACTTATGTTACATGTTTAATGTACAAATGAAATGGAAAAGTATGCGCCCTATGTAATATGTAAAGGTGTATCGAGAGTGGAACAAGATACATTGTATATAATATCAAAATGTGTGTTGAGAGTGGTACAATGTACAGTCTATATAGTATCAAAATGTGTGTTGAGAGTGGAACAATGTACAGTCTATATAGTATCAAAATGTGTGTTGAGAGTGGAACAATGTA